GAAAAGAAACATCGACTCTCGCTCGGAGGCGCGCCTCTCTCGACAGAATTTATACATAAAATTTATATATAGTAGACAATGCAATAATTCGAGCAACAGAAGGTCCTCCGTAAATTTTTTTCCTTAAATCTGCATGTGTGTTCTCACCTATAGTAATTAGTAAGTAGGTATCTTATATTTTTTTTTTTTCGCTGTCAGACCTTAACCGATGCCTTATTAGATATATTTCGTGTGACTGTCGTGTACGTGTTTCGCGTGATCGTGCACGCGAATTGTGTCTATGTGTACGTGTCTACATAGTGTGCTATCTGTTCGTTTCCTGCCATCCCTCTTATTGACACTACGTCCCTTATTAACGAGCTTCTAAGCAACGACGATCAGAATAAAATCAGTCGGAAGTCTAAAGTCTAAAGATCACACCGCTCGGTTTCTCGCGTTAGATAGCAAGAAAGATTGTCCTGGCATGAAACAATTTTAATTCGCATCATCATCTCACACGGCGATTTCCTATCTGTTTCTAGGTAGTTCTTCCAAGCATAAACCAATTTTGTTAAAAAAATTTATAATCAACGAACTCGTTACTCGCGTCATAAATAGCCGTTCAGGAAAATCGAAGCACAAAATCGCGACGTTAACTTGCTCAAGTACAACAGTTCAAGATAAAAGCATTATCTTTGTGCCGATGCGTCAAATTTCTACGTAAATTCCAGTTTACTTATATAGCCGTGTTAGCATTTCTCTGCAGTGAAATTTCAAAATACGTTTTTGGTGTTGAGCATAATTTCTTAGTCAGCGATTAAAGACCAATGACTAATTGCTAGAGTATTAGTCGTGATATTTTAGCGATAAGTCTCTATTGTGATTTCACCTTTCGATGAACTTCTCTTGAACACTTATTATGAGTCAATCTGATATTAATCCTACTAATTATTGCTATACGACAATTTTGGCACTACATTTCGTTCACACTTCCGCTCTCCGATAAACGGAGGAAAAATTATTCCGGCACATTTTATCGAAGAACGTGTCCTTCCTCTCTGAAGAAATTTCTTCCTCGAGATAAATTCATGTCCTTGAATGTCGCGATTTTACAGTTCAATTCTCGTTGACATTTCCGTCTTCTGAGAGATTTCCCTTTGCGTAGGATGGCAGGATTTGCGTAATGGCATACTCGATTTCAAGCGGAAGAAGAAAAAAAGAGCTCTCTCGTTATCTTGTCGCGCGTGCCTCGCGAGATAAATCTAGCGAGCGTCCGATCGACTTTTCAAAAGTAACAGATTTCCAAGATGAAATCGATCTCAATTATATTCTTGACTGTCTTGTTTTTTTTTTTTTTTTTTTTAATAATAATCATCTTTTATTTCTTGATAATTTCAAAATAATTTGTGGAATAATTAAAGTATAAAATATACAATTCTTAAAAACCTACGTCCGTCAATTGTAATATCGTTTAAACTTACATAATAAAGCTAAACTAAGTAAAAATATCTTTATAGAGTCACATTGCAATCCACTGGCAGTCAAGGTGAATTGGTGAATTTTAACCACTTGGTGCATTTTCGCAAAAGCGCGCACACGTCGCAGAGGTATTCCGCGCGGTGGCTCGTAAAATCGTAAGAAATCTGTGTTCAAAGCACGCATATACGAATGCGTGGTAACGCGCTCGAGATGGAAGCAATATTACAGCGTTCAAATAAAAACATTCGTATAAGTTACAGACAAAACCTCCCTCCCGGTCCGCGACGAAGGAAAAAGGAAAGGATCAAACG